TAAAGCGCTTACAGACATTTGTATTAAGCGCTATATAAAAATTAAATATTATTATTATTATTATTATTATCATTATTATTATTATTATTATTAATAAAATTTGGAGTGGACTATTACGCTATTATTATTATTATTATTATTATTATAAATCTGAGATGATATTAAGTTTCCTTGAGAATCTTGTTACACCTATATACAAGGTGGATTTTAAAACCCCTGTAAAGTGTTGGGAGTCCCCAAAATTTCACTTAAATTGTATCATAATGTGAAAGAGGATGTCATTTAAGACACATTTCTGCAAGGATTTTAAAAACAAATTTGTTTGAAGTCAACTGTTATTGACAGAACACAAAATTTAGGTTTTCTGCTTACAACAGAAAACCCAAATTATGTATTCTTTTATTCAAACACATTTCCTTGATTTCCTTGAATGCTGTGAGCACCGAAATAAGTAGCCTATAGCTAGCAGAGCCGGGGTAATATTTGAGCGCTATGAGCACCATGCAGGATGGATATGTGCGCTATACAAATATCCATTATTAGGTGGTCTGTTATCAACAGACCACCTATTGATTTCGTCAGAATTTTCTTTATTATTATTATTATTATTATTATTATTCTTTATTTTTATTTCTCCCCGTTTTTTGTGGCCCGGATAACTCAAGTTTGGTTTAGTTAATTTCATTAAATTTCGGCACAATTATAGGTCATTGTAATGAGACGTGACAGGAACATTTTCAAGGTCATTAGGTTATCGTGACGTCATCCAGGCGCCATTTTGTGAAATCACGTTATCCATCATATCTTCATGATGCATCAGCAAAGGTCATTCATATTCATATCACATATACTTTAGGTCCAGGGTCAACAGGTCATGTCATCAAAGGTCACATAAAGGTCATGACGCGCGCGTATGTGCGCGTCAAAATTTTAAATTGCTCAAAATCACTTAACTATTAAACGAGAGTACGAATCAGGTCATTTTAAGCATTTCAACATTTTCCGTCCGTTTGTGTCCCCGCGCGCGGTGTGCGCGCTCACAGCGCGCGAAAAAGGTCAAATTCAAAATGTTTACATGATTTGGATTCCTCTTAATGTAATTAACAATTTACATTAATTTCAGTCACTCTTCATATTTCATAAGGCCGTGAGCGTGCGTCAAAGTTCAAAATCCGCGCGTGCTGCTATGGGCAATATAATGCAAATTTCATCAAAAACATGCCATTTTAAAAATCGATATAGCTTTTCAGATAGTCCATTGACCCCCATTTTTTATATCATGGTTGGAAAAAGCATGAGTTGGAGATATGATTTCATACCACCTTGACTCGTACAAAGTGAAACAAAGTCATCATATTGGCATCTAAACTCAAACAAATGTATTTTGTTGATGACGTCATTTTTGTCTTTGTTCAATTGAGATTATCTCACTTATCTGTGATCACTTTTCTCTCAGATTTTGATATGTTGTAGCTGAGATAATTCTCTATCAAAAATATGTCATTCATTTTTTATTTCGATGACGTCATCATAGTTAAATATTCCATTAAAGGCGGTAATGCATAATTTGTCATATTTGCGTGTTATGTCTATGGGAGGTCACTTTTTTCAAAACATGAATCTGCATGACAATGTGTTTTGACCAGCGTCTCGGTTGTTATTCAAAATAGTTTTCAACCAAATTTTAGTATGTTGTAGCTGAGACTTTATGCTATCTAAATATTTCCTCATTTTTTCAATCAGATGTCAGGATCATGCTCATACTCATCATCGTCATCATCATCATCAATATGATCATGATCATCATCTTCATCAATGTCACCACCATCATCATCATCATGGTCTAAAGATGATCATCATCAACATCATCATGATCATGATCATTATCATCATCATTAACATTATCGTTTTTATCATCAAATACCATTATCATTATCATCATCATCACCTTTACTATCATGATCATCATCATGTTCATCATGATCATCATTGTTTACATGTCATATATAATTTCTCCCATTCTCAAATCTATCATGAGACTTACACAGACCACCTTATTCGTCTTCGTGACGAATTAAATTTCTAGTATTTTAATTGAATTTGTACAAAAACACAATTCAATTAAAATAAATTTGTGACCACACTTTTGTGTGCACGATTACTCAAAATTGAACCGTCCAATTTCTTTCAAATTTAACACAGTCATAGGTCATTATCTTAAGACGTGACAGGAACATTTCCAAGTTCATCAACATATCGTGACGTCATCTAGGCGCCATTTTGTGAAGTGCTCTGAGAATCAATTCATGACCATATCTTCATAACCAAAAATCTTTTCTCATTCATATTAAACACGATTAAGGACAATATCCTTCTGGTCAACTTAAGGTCAATTAACGCGCGCGTACGCGTCCGTCCGCGCGTCGGTGCGCGCAAAAATAAAAAATGCTCAAAATCACTTTTTGATCAAATTAGAGTACGTTTTAGGCCATTTCAAGCATTTTGAAAATTTTGCGTGCGCACACCTTTCCACGCGCATAAATTTGCGCGCGCGTTTTTGTTCGTAATGGTCGAACGCAACCTAGAATCGCCATTCTTTGTCTATCATAGTATTGCCCATTTTTTTCCGAACAATTTGATACCATGTTTATCTCTTTATGACCATTAATAACGAAATGAGCGTCCTTTCAAGGTAAATGTCTGTGCGTGCGAGCTCTTGTAATACATAGCATATATGGCCAAAAACATGGCTATACGAAATACATTATAGCTCTTTAGGATGCAAGTTGACCCCACAATTTTGTGCGTGTCAAACTCGTGAGAAATAATCGAGCCAGTTGTAAATAACATCGCGCACCAGCTGCTGGTGACAATGACAATGTATATTACGCGTATAACAAAATGCGCACCATACACGAACTCTATTGTGACGTCACAATCAGACCCATATCTCCGTTGTTTTATCTTTGTTTACGCTGAGCTTTGAGTATGTTGTAGCTGAGAAAATAAGCTATCACAAGTGTGCCCTTTATTTTTCGATCAGATGCCGGGATCATGCTCATATTTCACTTACAAAGTGGGATTTGATAATTCCATTTTACGTTTACGTGTAATCTCTAAGTGAAATGTTTTGGTATATCGGTAACGCACTTGACTTCCGACCTCGAGGTCCCTGGTTCGAGTCCGGGCGTCTCCAACAATTTTTTTTCTTCACTTTTTTTTCTTTTTGACCTTTCACTCTACCATCTTCTTTGAATATTAAAACACGTACAATCGCAAATAATGTAATAAACAACCATATTTACTTTATTATTACCCTATTATCACTACATCCATTACTTTTTGCGCGTAATCCTTATGGAAGATGACTTTTTCTCAAATCTGGATTCTACATTCTTGTCTTTTGCGAGCAATATCGCCGTTATTTCGGCTTGCTTTTTGTTGATTTTTGAGTATGTTGTAGCTGAGACTATATACTATCTAAATGTTCTCTCATTTTTTTCCGTCTGTCATCGTAGTCTGTTAATGATAATCATCAACATCATCATGATCATCATGATCATCATCATCGTCATCACCATTACTACCAAGATCATCATCATCATGATCATCATCATGATCATCATTGTTTACATGTCTATATAACTTTTCCCTTTCTCATTATAGTAAATATTATAATCTATCATAAGACTTGAAGACAGACCACCTAATTCGTCCCCATGACGAATTAAATTTCTAGTTATTATTATTATTATTAGGGAGCTCACAGTCCAGAGACTTATTAGTCACAGTCTAAAGATTGATTCACATGACCGAAACTAGATCACGTACAACACCACAATATGCTGCAACTGGTTACCATCATTTATACCCAATATTGGTTGTATCGATCATGACTAAATGTTCATCATTTAAACAAAACTATTTTTTTTTTTTTTTTAGTGCAGCTTCATGAATTGGACTTTTATGTCTTTAAAGAGCTTTATGGATGATAGGGATAAGATTGTAAACTTATGTAAAGCTCAATTATCTACTCTTAATTGCCCCATGGCACACACAGAATATGTGTCGAGTTCAAATATGACAAAGTAAAGTGTGTTGAAATAATCACTTAAATGATATGCTTTAATTCTGCTGGTAATAGAATGTCTATGTACAGGTATCTAACTTTTTATAGGAAGTTCTCCTTGGTTATCTGTCTTCAACACAATATTAAAGTCTTGATCATTATGTTGTCATCCTTTGTCATCCTGTCATCAATATAACAAGAGTGCGTTCAATAGACACTTTTTCACCCTAGAATCACGATTTTCAAAGACGTTTAGTTTAAAACACGGTTGCGTTCAAGCGATTTTTCAACTACTGAGGGCTAGAAGATTAAATCTATGATAAATAATTGAATACCGGTAATGCTCTCTGGCTCTTACTAGAAAAGATGGTCATTCCATAATTTAGGTCTCAAGTGAGGCAATAATATTAATTTTTACTATGAATATAGATACATTTTCATCTTTTTTGTTCCAGAATCCCTTTTTTATGTATCCTAATTTTTAAAGTTTTCAATTGTATGGCTGCATGTGTCCATACTGCTACTTGTTGATAAATCCTTGTGTTTTAGGATGTCATACATCTTTCTGGTCTGAAGTATTGCACTTTACATTTCTATGATTTTACAGATTGCATTGTCAAATATCAATAATGTGGCTGTATCTGATATTTTAATCCCATTTTCCTATCTATATATTGTGAGAACTCGTATTTTTATTGCACAAACATATGACTAACTCTTTATTCACATAGTGTTTAAATAAAAAAAGGCATTTTCTTGTGCATGTATTGCGAGATGATTTTGCATGCAGTTATAGCAAAATCATTGTAAAATCTTAAAGTGAAATAATCTTGACAATTTTTTTTTATCCATGAACACAGTCAGGAGGTATGAAATCTAAACAAACCAACAGATCTGATTGGTTAATTTTTGGTTCTTTTTGTTTGCCCAGGTGTGGCTCTCCGCAGCCAATCAGGTGTTCTTATCGTACGGCGCCGGATGGGGAGGGATTCTTACACTGGCAAGCTACAACAAGTTCCAAAGAAATTGCCTCAGGTGAGTGCTCCTTGATTAAAGGATTGCAAGACGTCACAGGTTTGACTCCTGGGGGGTGTTTTACCAAGATCCTAAGTTGAACTTAGCTCTAAGTTGGAATTAATAAGTACGGAGAGCCTTAAATGAAATATATTCAGAAACAAAAATTCAAGTATTTTAGACTTTTTTTTTTATAAATTCCACTTCAAGAACATGAAATCTCCTTGATAATAGAAAATTATGAATGATTTGAATCAACATTTTATGCCTTAAAAAAAAAACCTTTTACAAAATATTTTCATAGATGCTAACAGCTTTCCATAAATGTCAAGTCCAACTTAGAGATAAGTTCGACTTAGGATCTTTGTAAAACACCCCCAGGACATAACCCGATCGACTGTTACATGCCTTGATGAGACAAGTTTCCACAAGGTTCTGCTTTTAGTGCTTATTGTCCTAATTGGTCAACTCATTTGGTCAATTTCCTCAAAACAACAGCATCAAAACATTGAACAGCAAAACTTATGTAAATTGTATATCGTCCAATCACAGAAATGGGGAAACAAATTTCTGACTATCCAAAAACAAAAATATTAATTACAATTTTTTGGGTGGTTAGTTTTAGTTAAAATTGCAACTTCAAATTGTTTGATAACATGTTTAACTTTGTTTTATGATATTATATGTTGATAACCCAGATTAAACAATCAATAACTCACTTTATAAGCTTATCTATGCATCCTTGAGGTTTGGTATTGAAATGGCCAAAAAGTAGCGAGTTATCTTTTCAGTATGGAGATCAAATGTATAGGCATACCCCCCCCCCTTTATGTGTAGTAAGTGATTTGTTGTTTTTTGTAGCGTCTTTTAATGTATTATGTTACGGGGTCAGCTAATCACAAGGCTTGTTCCTTTCTTGCTGTCCCTCTCATACTTAATCCAAATGTATACTTTGTTATTAATTTTTCTTGTGAATTTTACCCTTTGTATCATGTTGATTTATAAATGTTTGCATGTTTTTTCTGGATTTTTATGATTTTTATTGAATTGAAATGGAAAAATTGAAAATAAAACAAATTGTGCTAATGATAACGCTGTGCACCTGTCTTCTTGAATTGAATACCGTTCATTGGGTATCTGAGCACAATTCCCTGTATTATGAAGACTGGTATTTTGTTTAGTCTGGCTCTGTCAAGAAAAAAGGTGTGTGTGTTATGTGATCAATATTTCATCTCATGTTTCAAAGAAAATCTGATTCATTGGTGTATGTACAATATATTGTGATATTTATCTAGCAAATATAGTATCAAAAGGTAGTTTGAAAAAGTGGGCATATGCCATTACTGAGCAGCTGAATTTTTATGGTGTCTTAAATGTGTTATAATTTTATGGTATTATAAAAAATCATTGACTCTGGGAAGATATATTTACCTCCTGCTAACACACAAGATAACACTAAAAGATATGGAGTCCACCAAAACAAACACAAGCAGATGCCAGTCCATGGTATGAAATAAAATCAACTTTCAAGGACTACTTTTAATCTAATCTTGATGTGGGTACTGTTTTGAAAGTGACCCGTCAGCAAAAACTGTTTTGCATACAATCGACCCATCGGTGGTTGACAACTGGCATTTTATTCATGGTTTGGAGTATGATGGAAATGTGACATATCATAGAACCCCATGCATGGAACATATTTAGAATCAGGGCATGTCCTTTTGCTTGTATACAAGTGTACCTGGGTTCATATTGATCCACAAGTCACTTTTATGTTGATTGAGTGTGTTTGTACATGTACTTTAATATTATCGCTATATAGACATAACATTAGAAGCTCATCTTGTGAATGTATCTCTTCAGAAGAAGTATGTGCATGAAGCTGGAATTGTATTTTTTAATATGCTGGCATGAAAAACCCAAACAGAACAAAATATTATTTGACAATGGTTCCATTTATCTCTGCATATTGACATGCTAGATGGACAGCCACATTAATTAGGTACTATATGTTCCATACACAGGTACATTGAATGTGTGACTGAAAAGTTAACAAAATTTCAATGTTCTTTCTGTCTGTTTAGGGATGCACTGATCATTGTGTGTGCAGGGTCTTTGACCAGTATCCTGGCAGGCTTTGTCATCTTTTCAGTCTTAGGGTTCATGGCCCATGATGCAGGGGTAGGCATTGAAGATGTTGTATCATCAGGTAAGCTGGAGGCTCCCTGTTAACCCAAATGGCTACCGGAACCATGTGGGTCCTGTATTAAAGTCTATGAGAATGAGAGATTTCTGGAGCCAATGGGATCAAACCAAAGGCAAAGACCAAAACAGTTTTCTTGTGCATGGCTTTAGGTTAAGGTAGCAGCTAGAGTGTACAAAAACCAGTCATGAAATTTGGCAGTAAAGTATGTCAACTATATTGCCTCGCAAGGGAATGAGACAAAGATGTCAAAACAATGGTTGATGTTTGATAAATGTGAATATAGATAAAGATGTAAATGTACATGGAAATGTATAAGTGAAAGCATAAGATATAAGCCAAGCCGCCATGAGAGGATCTTGAAATATCAATAAAATGCTTAATGAAAACAAATTCTTTCTATTTTAATTTGATGCAGAATTATGTTGTAACTGCTGTTTGGTAGAAGTTTCTAGGCTGCTAGTTTTACAAGTATGGCCTATTGTCATAGAATTTACCCATTTTAAAATCCTATTGATTTCTTTTCTTGTTTTTTTTTATGAAGCTAACAGGTCATAGTTTGAGTTTCATGTGAAGAATAAGTGAAGAGACAGAGACTGTTAATTTTCATCCTATAAACACACCTTTCTTTGTTTTCCCATTATCTAATTAGGACCTGGTCTTGCCTTCGTGGCCTACCCTGAAGCTCTGTCTAGACTGCCGTTTCCTCAGCTCTGGGCCTTTCTCTTCTTCTTCATGCTAATGACACTAGGATTAGACAGCGAGGTAAGGACCTTGGGGCCAGGGCTGGTATTACAGTTTTCTCCCTTGTTTGTAAGGTTATGAGACATGTACATGCCTGGATGCGACTTAAAGTGTACCGTAAATCTCCGTGTATAAGACACACTTTTTTGCCGCTGAAAAAAATTTAAGTCGGGGGTGCGTTTAATGTTATCCTTTATTTCATAAGTATATCCTTAACAGGTACAAAAAAAACACAAAAAAATTAAGTTATTTCGATTTATGCCCCTCCACCTGGCGCTATGCCTGGCAATGTCTCCCAGCTCAGTAATCAGTATGTTGACTCACCACTCGGAAACTAAAACAACACTCAAATTTGTCTGTAATCTTGGTTTGAAAGTAATCTTTCTAATGGATCTCAATATATAGTTTATAATAACAATTCCTCAGATTTTTCTTCTATTACACACGGCGTACCACAAGGTTCTATCCTAGGTACTCTACTGTTTATACACAGGTGCGTCTTATACACAGAGATTTACGGTATATACCAATCACCAGAACATATTTTGCTCTTGATGTAAGGGGTTCCATATGATATATGTACAAATATATACAAAATATGAACTTCAAATATTACTTCTACAAAGACATATAATATTCTATGTGAGTGCGTAAAATGTGTTTTACGCACTCACATAAAATATATAGGGCCCGCATGGAATCCAGGACTGACTTGGGTCATAAGTTTATCCTTAACCGTTTACCTACAGATTGTAAGGGGTGTCGTCTGAGAAATAGATATCCTGCCTTTGTTGCCTGTGTGGTAACCATGAAAGCAACCCACTGTAATTATTGATTCATGTGGATTTTGTGCAGTTTACTGTAAGTGGAGGGTGTTGGATATACTTCCCAAGATAAATATGTTGAAGGGAAATAGTTGAAGGATGCATCCGACCTTTAAACGTTCACAACTATTTTCTGACAAACTGAAAAAAAGAGAGGATACAAGTGGTGTGATACTTGTTTGGGATACGAGAAGTCTGTACTGGGGTTCAACTCCTGGATAGGCTACTATGTTATGATCATTGTTTACTCGCTACATAGCTACATGTAGAATATAAAGAGAAATACACAACAGAAAGGATGACATCTCAGATGCTGATTGTTGCTTACCGGTATATGAATTTACAACGACAAAACTCTATTCTCTGCCCCAGACTTTGGAGGATTCTTGTAACACTATCACAATAGTCTGAAACATATATAGAAAAGCTTTGATATGTATATTTCTAATACATAGCTCCAACATCTTTATGTTTGCTTTGAGAATGCATAATTTGATACAAAAACCTTTTGGTTGACTCAATTATTGATACATAATATATATGGAATTTACATATATGCAAATGGTATGTACCACCTTTTGACTATAACCTTTGTTTACTGTAATTATGAAGCGCCAGGGGTGTCAAGTCTGACAGATATGAGTGGTATACAAGAATCCACTATTATTAAATTTGGTGGTGATCTATTGTTAACAATATTATTGAGAAGGGCATCAGAGCAGAAAGGAAGGAAGCAGTTGTCTAACATACACATGGTCAAGGCCAACAAATGTGGAAAACTCATTAGAGTTCAAAGAACTGCTGGAATTGCAGCTGGTTCAAATTAAAGTGTAAACATTTTGATACACTCAGGTGTAGTAAATTGATACCTAGTAGGAATTTATTCATTAAATGCTTTTAGCACCTTAGGGGAGTTGGGATATCTAAGAAAGCCAGAATATATTGCTTTGTGAGTACCTTGAGAATCCTGTGGGATGCTGGGTACACGTGCCAAATAAATGTAGCTAGAATTAGTTATAATTATTATTATGGTAAATTTAAGAATAGATGTGGGAAAATATATCTGACCAAAACTCAGTGGCCCGAATTCACAAAGCAAGGTTTGAGCTCAGATCAAGGTTTGAGCTCAAACCTCCTTTTGTTCTTTACAAACCAGGTTTGTAAAAAACGTGTAAAACGCGTCATTTGACGTACGAAAACCAAGGTTTGTCGACAAACCTACTTTGTGAATTCGAGCCATAATGTTCAGGTTTGTAACTTTGTATAAGCCCCCAATAGAAATCTTATAAATCTTGTTGGTTTTCAGTGATTATTAGCAAGATACTCCTTTTCATACTCTTACGGTGCTGTCTTCCAAAGTGGAGAATTTAAAAATGAGAGGTGAACAATTATTCAGAGCCCAAGTGCTGATCTAGATATCAAGTTATTGTTTATGCATCTTATTTCAAGGAAAGATTTAAGAAATGCATCGATCTGTTTACCAAAGATAAAGGCTGTTTTTGATATCGTGTTGACCCTTGCTTTAAACATACATGACCTTTAATTTATAGAAGTTCAAAATTCTCTGAAGGTCTAAATTAATCAGAGTTTTGGCCTCAAATTTGCAATATTCACTGAAGGAGTATGAATAAAAGCACAAAATGCCCCCCCCCCCCCAATTGCCAGTTTGTAGGCCTATGTACATGAAAAAAGTGATTATAAATTACACACTGCATTGCCAATTTAGAGACTGATACTGATTTTCAATTAATTCATTCTTATTCGTGATTGGCACTGAATGGCACTGCAACAGAAAGGAAACAGAAATGAGCTCAAAGTTTCTTTAATTATTTCCTTATTTTACTTCTCTCTTGAATGCAATGCACTGTATTCTGGATCTAAAGACACTGCTGATCATTGCCAGAAATGTTACTTAAGTTGACACTGAATTTCAGGTTTAAATTGGGTCAGGTGAACAAAGTCCAGAGCTCAAGATCAGAGTACTTATCAACACTTAATATTGAGATCTGAGGTACAACCCACTTTGTACCTGAACTAGTTTCTATATCATTCAGCTTGAAATCAAGATTGAATCTGTCATTCATTGCAATATTCGAGGCAACAATTAAATTTAATCCCAGCCTCCCCCAAAATAACTTTTCTTTATTCATTTCTCAATCAGTGACAACATTTTGGGGATTTATTTGTAGATATACTCATATTGTGGAGTAAAAGAAGCACATATATGCATGTAGTTATATGATTATAATTCAAACAATCAAAATACCTGTGCATAATGTCATGACATGAAAGCCTTTATCTGGTTGGTTGTCTGGTACATTCTTTGGCAGCAATTACTCTGCATTTGATATCCAAATACTAGTTAACCACATTTTAAACTTTTTCAACTCCAACCCAGGACCTATCTATACCTTTTTCAATTCAATTTAATCTAGTTCAAATATTTTTATTTCCATAACTCAATAAACACAGAGAAAATGCTAACATAAATTTAATATCAAATGACATTTGCAATATGACATAGAAAGTGAAACTTTTATTTGTAGTTAAACCATTATATTAAACGTTGATAGATATTCAAAGCATTTAGGATACAAAGTATATAGGCATATCATAAATAACATCTTTTATGAATTTAGTAGTGGCATATTTGTATAGGCTAGATAAGTAGACAATTGAAACACAATGACATATCAGATGGAAGGACGAAAAGTCCAGATACGGGCAAGGACAATGATAAAGACAAGAAAAAGGACAAGGGCAAAGACAAAAACAAAGACAAAAACAAAGATAAAAACAAAGATAAAAACAAAGATAAAAACAAAGATAAAAACAAAGATAAAAACAAAGACAAAAACAAAGATAAAAACAAAGATAAAAACAAAGATAAAAACAAAGATAAAAACAAAGATAAAAACAAAGACAAAAACAAAGATAAAAACAAAGATAAAAACAAAGATAAAAACAAAGATAAAAACAAAGATAAAAACAAAGATAAAAACAAAGACAAAAACAAAGACAAAAACAAATATAAAAACAAAGACTAGGAAAAGGGCAAAGACAGAAACAAGGACTATAGGGCATAGATAATAATGGGAGAAAGACGTAGGGAGAGAAAGAACATTGGGGATACCTTAGCCTAACCATAGAAAGAAAAAAATAATAATACAAAAATGAGAGATATAATCATGTGACGCAAAATATTTTGGCGACAATAGTCACAGTTGAGTAATTGGCATTAAGCCAAAACAGAAGAAGAAGAAGAAGATATCTGCCTGTAATTGTTATGTTGAAAATGATGTTTCCCCTTTCTCTTAGTGTATTTCTTTTCTGCACTTGCCAAATAATGTAATAATAACAATAACAAGCCATTATTGTATAGCGCATAACACATTACATAAGCATGTCCCTATGTGCTTGGAAAGAAAAAGAAATAAAAGCAAAGAGAATATATGTTATTGGGTTCCTTTTATCTGTTTAATATTTGGAATAAGTGTGTTTTAAGGGCAGACTTCAACTTATCTTTTTCTAAGAGGGTCAAAAAGGCTATTCAATTAAGCAGCCTGCCATGGGCAAATGAACGCTCACTATCGTTTTTTGTCATGTTAAGAAGATCGATAAAGACATTCTTTTTACATGATCGAAGATCTGTTGTTGGTCAGTTTGCATTGAGTAATTCATGTAAATAATAGCTAGGGAGCCATTCATAAGCTGATAACAGTATCTTGGATTACACAATAATTTAAATAGCCACTACCAAAAAAGTCTGATAGCACATCTATCTACTTTAATAGCCACTTTTTCTTTTTAACTTGGGTAGTCTTATAGACAGGTTTGACTGGTTTGAAGTATAAATCTGATTTCCTAATAGTTGTCTTCCATCTTCCTTTTTTTTCCAGTTTGTGACACTCGAGACGTGCATTACTGCCTTTGTGGATGAATTCAAGGATGACTACCCTTTTCTCAACAAACACAGGTTCTTTGTGGTTCTAGGGACTTGCATAGGCATGTTGCTGATAGGGCTTCCTTTAACAATGCAGGTATGTACATCAAATTAGCTTTAAAGTCTTCAAAGATTTAACCTCTTCTTTCTACTGTTAAGTTTATGAACGAATACCATGTCTATAGGCACATCATGAAAAGACTTACAATGATCAGATTCTAGATTTGATTTTTGATTGTATTATTGGAGTTGGAAACTAGCTTTCAATAACTTTAATAGGAATGAACTTAATTCAATCAATGCCCTTCTAGGTTTAAACAAAACACTGCAAAAAGGAACTAGGGACCATTTGCTTTAAAAAAAAGAAAGAAAAGACAAACACCATGAACAGTGATGCTCAGTATTGATTAAAAAGAAAAACTTACTTTTTCAAGCATTTCCGCTTTTCTTTACTATTCTTCTGTAGCAAAGTAGGATCACAAATGCATTAAAAATGTTCTGACAGTGAAAAAAAAAGGTTCTAACCAAAGTTGTGATATTAATTATTTTTCTATTTTCTTTCTTGAAGGGAGGAGTGTATGTCTTTGAGCTTTTCAATTGGTATTCTGCAGGCTTCACACCAATGATAATAGTACTGTTTGAGGTCTGTGCTATGTTAATCTACGGTAAGTGCACTGCTTTCCTTCCTATGTTTCAACCCTACTATATGGGATTTAGGAACATAGAGGTACATGATACAGTCAAACCTGTCTATAGCAACCGCCCAAGGGAAACACAAAAAGAGGTCTTTGTAGACAGGTTCCTTTAGTACATGCTTCAATGAGAAACCATTTTCAAGGGAAACAAAAAATGTGGTCTTTGTAGACAGGTGGCCACTAAAGCAGGTTTGACTGTACATGTACATTTAAAGGTGTCCATACAAAACAGGGTTGTGGGATAGGGATCGACGTTGCAACTGATTAAGGGGTAGCGGAATAGTGTTTGAGCAGCATCGGGTGTTGAAATGTAGGTAAACATTATGAGTCATGCATGTGAGACATAAGATCAACATTCCTATTATCTGACGCAAGTATGTTCCAGCACTTACATTTTCCATTGCCCCTACGTTGCTTCACCATAGTGTTCCCACACCCCTGTATTCTGACACTTGTATCGTTGAATATCTGTATGTTTCAAATGTCAAAATTTGGACTGCATGTTAGAAGTAATTTCCTGAACAGCTTAGCAAATATATAAAATATATTAATTATAATATATTAATTATATATAAATAGAGGGTGAAAAGGGCGTATAAATATTAGGGGTATAGCTAGATCAAGAATTTTGGTTTTAACTAGGTGAATTCATTCTTGTTCGTACAACACAAGGATGTGGCTAAATTGGGGGGGGGGGTTTAATTGCTACGAGCATCCTGCAGCCCCTCACCCAGCCCGGTTCGAATCCCACCGCGGCACTATCCTTTGGCAAGACATTGATCTACATTTGCCACACTCCACCCAGGTGAAGTAAATGGGGACCGGTAGGAAGTAATTCCTTGAATGCTGTGAGCACCGACATCGGTAGCCTAGCAGAGCCGGAGTAATATTGGAGCGCTTTGAGCACCCTGCAGGGTGGATATGTGCGCTGTATAAATATCCAATATTATTATTATTATTATTATTATTAGATAAAAAAGGAAATAATGAAATGAGGATAACAAATGATGAAGTGATTGTTATTGTTATCTTCTTCTCGTGCTTAGGTGGTAATAGATTCATGAAGGACTTGTCTTACATGTTTGGTGCCGTGCCTGTACCATACTGGTGGTTCTTCAATTGGTTTATTGTGACTCCCATTATCATCACGGTGAGTACCTCAACATATATCTGTGTCTTAGCTACTCTGTTATGATATAACCACTGCATCAATGCTATGACAAATATTCTCTTCACCAGTGAATTGTGTCCTTTAAGTCACTCATAGGGGAAACAGATATACCTGGGGGGTATTTCACAAAGACTAAGATTGACTTTAAGTTGGACTTAAGTATGGCAGGCTGTTCATGCCACTGTTTGCTCTCACCATTTATTGGCATTGGTCTCTCAAGGGACGTACAAATCATAGTGAAAAATCTACAGAATTTACATTTTTTGATAATTCATTATTGAAGGAAAAAATATTATCTAAAGATCATAATGATGAGAGCAACCAGTGGCATGAAAGGCCTGCCATATCTAAGTCCAACTCAAAGTCGATATTAGTCTTTGTGAAACACTCCCCAGGGGAGTGTTTCAAAGTTTTGTTACGTATGAGCACTACCCCAGTACCATATGACAAAGTTGCTCAGTACAATGATTTCAGTAGCTTTTATAAATTATTGTAACTCATTATTGATATGCTTTGTAACAAGATTCATGACACAGAGACCTGTACCAGACTGTCGGATGTCAAATGTTGAGTCCTAAATAATGCATTTTAATTGTCTCATTGTTAAATTAGGAGTGAAATATATTCACTGGAAGTAGACTCCACAATGCATGAACCTGTTGCTGTTGTAGGAGAAGTTTAAGTATATTGTACATGGAATTCTTTTGTGGGACTTACCACCCACCACACTGAAGTGATTAAAAACATTGATAAAACATCCTCGGCAAAAGTTTCAAAATTTTCTCTGTTAATTTTCATCATTTCCAATATGTTGTTACATTCCTTGTGAAATGAGATATTGTGGAAACAGATAATCTATCTATCTATCTGTCTATCTATCTGTCTATCTATCTGTCTATCTATCTACCTATCTACCTTTCTATCTATCTATCTATCTATCTATCTCTACCTATCTATATCTATATCTATCTATCTATCTATCTATCTATCTATCTATCTACCTTTCTATCTATCTATCTATCTCTACCTATTTATATCTATCTATCTATCTATCTATCTATCTATCTACCTTTCTATCTATCTATCTATCTCTACCTATCTATATCTATCTATCTATCTATCTACCTTTCTATCTATCTATCTATCTCTACCTATCTATATCTATCTATCTATCTATCTATCTATCTAGCTATCTATCTATCTATCTAGCTATCTAATCTATCTATCTATCCCCACAGGTTATCATGGTCTTTGGCTTTGTAGACCAGGTCCCAGCATATTATGATGATTACATCTTCCCAGGTTGGGCCCAGGGTGTCGGATGGGCGCTGACCATGTCCTCAATCTCTTTAATATTCATATACGCTATCTACATTGTCATCAGGCAAAAGGGCTCACTTATACAGGTAAGAGGATGGTGACAATGATAAAAGTAATAGTAATAGTAATGATGCTAATGATGATGATGATGATGATGATGATGATGATGATGATGACGATGGTGATGGTGACGATGATGATATTGATGATGATGATAATAATGATGATGATGATGATAGTAATGACGATGATAATAATAATGATATACTACTACTACTAATGATGATGATGATGATGATGATACTAATAATGATGCTAATGATGATGATGATGATGATGATAATAATAATGATGCGAGAAATAATAGTTATGATGATAATGATAATACAGATGATGATAATAATGATGATGATGATGGTGATGAAACAGGTTGTACAGGATTACATCTTGACCTGTAGCAGTCTATTGATCTGATCTGATCAGACTGACCTGACAAACGTTAATACTTCCCCATTTATTAAGTGCTCAATAAATTCAACGATGTCTAGTGCTTTACAGTTATATAAAAATACCCTGGACATTAGATTCAGGCTAGCTTGCATACAGTGAATGCACATATTCTACACTCCTTTAGAAGCTAGCATTCCGGGCCAGGCGCCATTTTACAGAAGTCTTAGCAATGTATCATTTAGTAGTTCGTTAAACAATGCAATTTTTTTACCCTTCCCTCATTAAAAACATTATACCTCATTTTCTCCCTTTCTTTGCTATTCAGCGTTTGAGAGTATTGGTGCGTTCTTCCGACAAATGGGGACCTGCTCTGGCCAAGAACAGGGAGCTATGTGGGTACAAGCCAATGCCAGTCTCGGGTACTGCCAATATAGAGTTAAAGAAATTCAAAGACGTTGAAAATGCCTGAGACCTTAATTGGCTTCCAATAAAATTGACAAAATATCCAGTTTTGTGGGTTTATTGATGCCTTTCTACAAGGTGTAAATATACTTCTAAATGACCACACAGATTCATGTACAAGTTTTTATATATATTCTATTGAGCTACTTGTTCTTATTATGGGTTCGTTACTTCTCACTGACTAATCAAAATCGAATCTCGTCCTATGGACAATCTTAGTGCTACGTTCTTGATGATTTAACTCTTGCTGCGCAGGAGAAGTTGACATTTTATGGAAAATAATGATGAAGAACAAGTTTGAAATTTGCTGATCTTCTACATGTTGCCATTTTCCAAAGTGTTATATAATAACCACCAAAGAAAAAGAAGAAAGAAAAAGGAGAAATAGTCTTCCATTTTAAAGCAAAGTAATATTAGAATGATTTTTTTGATCCATTTTATTCAAGATTTCCACATAATTAGCAGTATACCATTATGTTACATGTATATCCTTCCATTGCAGGGAAATTGACTAAGCGCCATGAGCACCGAAAGGTGGACCTGTGCGCTATACAAGTAGCCACTATTATTATTATTATTATTATTATTATTATTATTATTATTATTATTATTGTTGTAATGAAACACAGTAGAAAGCGCAACAAAGGACTTTCGCATATTCATTGGGCACTGTGGTGTAAGGTTCAGAAATCTGAAATGTATTGCATATATACATCATCATAAAAAAGCTGCCACATATTTTTTTGTCCACGTCCTACCTGACGAGCCTTTAGGTTGGAATAGTTACAGGGGGGCATGGGGGACATATGCCCACCTACCAGGCCCCATCGAATAGGAAATGGCGGGAGATCGAAGTTAAAAGGAGATGATGAGCACCTTTCCTGTGCATCCTTCCTCTGATTAATGGTCATGTTAATTTAATATGAAAAGGCACATGCTTATATTGAGAAAAAAAATGATATAATTTACAATATGTAGAAAGAGAAGATGACCTGAATTTATTATTATTATATATATATGTTACTTGGACGGGTAGAGCATTCGTTTATATATATTCACTGGAATGTTCCTCGATATGTGAGGCCTGATGTTGTCACTTTATATTGAAAGGGGTAATGCACGTTCATTAGCAGATTTTGAAATGACCCCCTAATTGTGGATTTTCATTAACACTTTCTACAAAAAAAATGATCCCTTTATGTGTATAAACAGGTACAAAATGGGCTTGAATATAACCCTATTTGGGACTGATTGAGTACCAGTACAAATTTTGACTATTTATTTATACAAATAAACCAAAAATGGTGGAGGTATACCATGACATACAGGTAATGAAATTCCTTGAGTTTTAAATATTCACTTTATTTTTGTACTTTAAAGAAAACATAAGTTTTGAATGGAGTTCCTTATTAAAAATCTACATGCTTTGGTACCGGTGTGGCTACATAAATTGTACTATTCAGGTGGAAACAGTAATAACTTTAATATCAGTAGTCTTTTTTTTGTGATGTATCTGACAACATTTTGCATTATGATTTTTGTTATAAATAAATTTGTATAAGTGCTTATGGACTACATGAAATTTTAAAAAAGCAAGTGGAACAGGAATAACTTATCACGCCATTGTTTCTTTCCGTACGATGTGTCTTACCAAATTTCTATAATACAAATAAATTGGGAATGTTTCCATTTATGTTGGAAATAATTTTTGCATTTTTGTGAAACATTTTCAAGTGCTTGATTTGTCTCATATTGAGATAAGGAAAGGACCAAGATTTTTGTTTTTTTGTGAACATAAATATCTGGCATTAATGAAGTTGATTTGATCCACTGCCATTCAGTATATATCGTCTGTACAAAGCCAAAGAGCCTTAACTCTGTATCAAAACGTTTTTTTTCTTTTTTGTGAACATAAATATTTGGCATTAATGAAGTTGATTTGATCCACTGCCATTCAGTACATATCGTCTGTCCAAAGCCAAAAGGGCATTAACTCATTATTGGAAAGGATTATGATTTGTTGAGAATTTGCTTGGTGTATTAAGTGTAGAATTTGGTTTTTGGTCAATTAACTGGCATAAGAGCTTTAATTTTAGCATACCAGTCAAAGGAGGAATTTCCCCTCCTGTGTACCATGTAACTTTGGCAGTGTATTTGCTTGTATCAACTTTGTTGGGTTTTTTTCCTTTGACTTTACATATGATTTAATTTGTGATATAGTTTGAATATGCTGCAACATTTACAAGCCTTGTACAGTTATCAAATCAGTGCTTCCTACAAATGCTCTTGAATGCAACCCTTGAATGTAACAGCATAGTACTACCCTTCTTGCTTTCATCAGATGAGATGGAAACACTCAATTAAATCTTATGAAAAATAGGTACAGTATTATATACCTCTGCATCGTTTCACAAAATGGTCATAAATGCATGGTAAATTGTACGCATTTCAATTGGATGTCAGCAACTTGTACTTACAACTACTTTGTGAAATGCTACCCAGAAGGATAAATCAAAATGATATTTTTACAGAAATATTGCAATTTTCAGAATTTGTCTTTCAGTCATGCACATCAGTATGCAACTTTTGGAGTTGGCATGATGTATCAAGCTAGTAGCAAAATTATTGCAATAGATAAACTCTCTCTGAAATCAAGATTATTTGAATGTGCCACTTGTATGATACAAGCAATAACACGGGCCAATAACTACGGTACCCATTATTGACTGGGGACCAATCACGGTGGAATATTTGCTATGTTTGGGATTTCATGACAGTATATGTGTGTGTATATGATTTTAAACATTTTCAGCTTCAAATATAACTTCAGTAATATTGTATCAAATTATGCTCTAAATAGCAATTTATGAGTAGATCAGTGATCTATGATAGCATTCTCATCTTGATTTTTTTTGGTGATTTTAGTGTACCGTATAAATATAAATCATATTTTTAGGTAATTGGTTCTCTGTAGGAAGTTGTAACTGTGGTAGAATAAATCATAATCGGCAAATCGGCAAATAATCATAATCAAGTGTGTGTTGAAATACAATTGTAATCAACAAATAGGACTCTATTTTTCAATATTCTATTTACCCAGAAACAAAGTCTGTCGAGTGACGTACACGACGGACGTGTAAAATATCACAATACATGAAATATTATACCTCTCCTCATTATCACTTGACGGACATGTGCGCTATATAAGAAGCCATTATTATTATTATGTCGCATTTTCTTTTGTCGTGTAACCAGTGGATGTACAGTATCTTTATCTAGAAGAACGAGGTGCAATCGTAGCCGAAGCATTAATGTATGCTCTATTTTCCAGACATATATTTAAAAAGAGATACTTCAAGCTTGTATAATTTGTTGATACACCGAATATGGGTAATAAATTTATGCTTTGTAGAATTTACTAATTAAACAATTGACAACTCTATTAAAATGTTTATTTTAAATATTGTTGAAACTACTGCTTTCTGCATTTTTTTCAATATTAAATTATTTGTCTGGCAATTTGGAATACAAATGAATTACAAGAGGTTCATTAAGATGTATGTGATATTTTGTGTTCAGTGATTCATGTGAGAGTTGGTTCTAGGACACCTACCCCCTGGACAACCACCCTCCGGATAACCACCCCAAGGATAACCACACTCTAGGACAACTATCCAACGGGGTAGTTGTGCGGGGGATATGGTAGTCCACGTCCTGGACGATTTTTATTGATGCGCAACCCCCTCACATAACCAACAGATGGGGCAGTCATATTACCGCACCCATTCACTTACTCCAGTGATTCACTTTCCCCGAAAAAAAATCATGTGCGTATGTATGTGTGTGCTATGGGGTGTGCACTCAATTAACCAGACGATAGCGAAATCGTGCACAACGGTCCAGGGGGTGGACTAGGATGGTGGTTGTTTTAGGGGGTAGGTGTCCAGATACGGTCAGAGTTATACTAGTGAGGTATAGGACTAATAAAAGTATGAAACTGCAAAAAATAACATACATTAATCAAATCAGCAATAATAGTGAATTCCTGTATAGTGGAATTAATTTAGTCCTGCTAGCTAGCACCCATTTACCTCACCTGGGTAGAGTGTGGCAAGTGTAGATGAATGACTTGCTAAAACTAAAAGACATTAGTGTTGCACCAGGATTCGAACAGCGAACCATGTGATCCACAGTCTGGTGACGTATCCATTATACCACAAGAGAGAGAGAGAGAGAGAGAGGGGAAGAGAGAGAGAGAGGGGGGGGGGGGGCAGGGGGAGAGAAAATAAAAAAGGGAAGACAGGAAAGGGAAGAGAGGAAAGACAAGAAAAAATTGAGTGAGAGAAGGGAGAAAGAGAAAATAGAAGGGGCAAGAGAAAAATAGAAGATCGCAAATTTGACAACTCATATTCGATTACACATGTACGTGTACACACTTACGCATGAACATATCAATAAAACGACTAGATACTGATAATGCAGTTTTGCAATGCAACTTTTTTTAATCAAACAAGTCATCTTTCCATTCTCCATACCAAGACAGAGCGTGGAGATGTTTGTCTCCATAAGATTGCTTTAATATAGAAGTACCAAATTCTCTGACAGTATTCGTTAACTAAATTCATAGCGATAAGAAAAGACACTAATTCAAAATATCTACCGTACAATCGTACATTACACCAGGGAATTAATATCCATCATTATAAACTGGACCATTCAATATTACATACATAAAATGAAATCCTCAAAATAAACCCATAAAAGTATGAGGACTCGATAGGGGATTAAATAAATAAGGCAAATTACATGTACACAACAAATTCTTGCTTTTTTATGGTGTGAATTACAAAACACAAAAATGTGGATTTCAAACAAGTTTATTTCCTTTTCATTTACAGCGATTGTGCTTTTGACCAATAAATACTAAATAAACCATGAAATACATGAACATATGGACTATAAAATGAGGAGTTCCATCATATTTTGAAAGTAGTTCTGAAGTTGTGTGGCCTCGCTATCATTATGAAAGAACCCTTTTTCTAGTCTTTGTTCCATACAGAGTCATGTCATATTGTTAATAGCAAAATCTTCTTTTAGGCTACATAACGCTTCAATTAAGGTGCGAGTTTCTAAAGCCACTTTTTTAAAACAATATTTAAAGATCAACTTTTAGACCTTTCCCAAATGTTTGCGGTAGAATAATGGCAAGTTATTTGTTTAAATCTATCATGAACATTAACATTGTGCCTCAGTGCATCTGCGTTTCTCTGATGAAATATCATGGTATTGATACAATTTTTTATAGAGTTTTATTAAATATCAAAGACAAACATGTACTTCATTCAATAAACCAACAAACTTGTTGAATAAATGCATACATGGAATGATGTATTTGCTTTCTAAGCACACATACAATAAAGTTAAAAGCTTTAATTATTTACTTCGTTCTAAAGAAGAAATATGTGCATTAAAGGGACTAGGTATCATTGTTCAGATGAGAGAAAATCATGCTAAGGTAGTGACTTCAATGCTGGATGTACAATTAAAGATAATCTGAAAGTTTGAGTGAGAACGGACCATTATTAATGATAAAAATTGTGAAAAACTGATCTGATCGATTCCTGAATTCCCCCAACTACATCATCAGAAGTTTATTAAATTTTAGGAGAATTTATATTATCACAAAGCAATGAATTTGCTCTATATACCATTCCAAACATTTCAGTGTTGAAAGATTTTTTAAAGCCTGTTTTAAGTCACATTTTCATGAAAAACGGTTAGGGAAATTGAAAAATGGTTGGGAGAACTTACTGTTAGAGGGTGTTGCACAGTGATGCCTTCAAAGAAAACCATAAATCTCTCTGTGGTTTGAGCAGTTTTTCAGGATTTTTTGCATGTTAGAGGGTTAGTACAGTAGAAGGAATATAATAAGGTTCATACAAAAATTACAGTTTTTTATCAACCTTTAACGATGTTACCGGTTCATTTTAAAGGGAAATCCAAGGCTTAATCGCTAAATGCTTAAAAGTAGCAGAAAATTCAGATAAGCAGATTGGTAAAGGTTTGAACAAAATTGGACAAACAAAAAGAAAGTGCTTTTTTTCCCCAAAAAGTTCTGTAGCAATCGCTATATGTTATTCAGTAGTCACAGGTTAAAATACTATACCGGTACCGAATACAAGAATCACAATTGAGATGCCTGCAGTGTTTTTTTTAACACTCCCTATTAAAAACAAACAAACAAACAACAAATTAAAACAATTTAAAAAACTTTTGTCTCATGTTGAGTACTTGTTATAAACTGCTATTGAACTGATAAATCTTTACAGGAGATCCTTTCATTGGCAATTGCTCACTCATGACTGATGCATTCTTGTACCTAAACTTGACTTCATTCCGATTATCAGGATATAATTAGGTACATTTTAAATTATTTCACCTCCTTAACAGCTACAATACAAGGCACTTTCATCACATTTGTTCATAAAATAATCAACTTATATATATCGTTAAAAAGAAATCTTCTTTAAAAAAACTGAAACCGCACAGCAGTTATTTCATGTACTTCATCAAAATAAAACTATTTCCAGGAACATTCATCATTTTTTGTAATACTTCATTGTAAGTCTTTGTTCTTCAGATCAGCACAACCTTTCACACAAAGTAAACAACGAAATTATAGAAAGCAAAAAAATCTAGACACATATCTAAATACAGAAAACGCACAACAGATAATCAGGAATGCATTATAACCAAAGCAAATGCAAATGATGAAAAATATATACCGGTAGCTATATTTCGATTCACTGTTCAACACTCATTCAGCTACTTTTCACTTTCAGAAGCAAGCAGAAATGCTTCACACATTTGACATAATTACATTTGTTTAAAAGAAATTATAAATTAAAATATACAGAAGCACAAGTACACATTGAAGAATAAAAATTATTACTGATATGTATAGTGTTCCCAACAAGACATGTTTATCAAAAGACAGAATAATATACTGTATTATTCAAGTCCTAAAATGAAGGACAAGGCATGTCTACACACCACACAACCATTTTATTTTTGCCGTCTTCCAGACTCGTACTGATTGCTGCCAATCCCTAAAATGCCACATTAAGTCACGATATGTTCCTTTGGATATAACTGAATTAACAAAATATCAATATAGTTGTAAATCCAGATATTGGTATACTACTTACTGTACCACAAAGAAGCCACATTAATTGGAACTTCTCGTAAACTTAACCACACAGTCAAGATTGAAGCCTGATGCCCCTTCCCTCACAAGTAAAGCAAGAATGATGAAAGAATAAATATCTTCACTCCCGATCTACAGGAATGTTTACCGTTACGAACAAAAATATGACCACAAACATGGAGAAAAAAAACCCCAATAGCAACCATGTATATCACGAGCTGTAACAGTCGGAACTTTCCAGTTTGTTTGCCACACAGAAATCCAGCTTCAGCGTATGTACTCGGTAAATGTCTGAATGCGCAACTACCTGTACAAGAACATGTAAGTTTCTTTATAAGAAATACCAAATGGTTACAAATATGAAAAAGACAATTTACACATGTAAATGTACATGTATTATGTTGCAGTCACACTTTATAGGAAAGCTAATTAAAGTCTACACTTATAGCTAATTAATTATTGTTATTTTCCATTTTTATCAATTCCACCCATATATACCTTCACAAAAAATGAAGAAAAAAAACTAGATATATGCACCTGGAAACTACAATTACTATCACCATATAATTTCTTAAAAGCTAAGTCATGATATATCTAAAATTGCCCCTCTAAATTGAACAAATAAACTAAGAATAATGTTTATATTAAGTGGGAGAAATTCTTCCTCATCTCACATAAAAAAATATGAATTTGGTTATAAATAAAAGCACATCAGCCTTTATAATTCTGCTAGGCAATATCTAATACATCTAAAAATGAACCGTAATGTATTTCAGTTAATGTAGAGTCTACATATGAAAACAAAAAAGACTAACTATCGGTACCAGTATATGTACATCACCATACAAACGGGAGTCCCTATGTTGAATGGTCTGTGCTTTTAAGATTTGTAAATAAATATTAGCTAGTATGTTATTCTTCTTGTTATGCATTATGTTTGCACCTTTGGGTGGGGGGGGGGGGGTAGGGTCACATGTTATTTGCACAAACTCCACGCTCGGTAGATCTATAACAGGTTGTTAACAAAACAGACATTATCACACATTAAATATTGCTGAAATAAGAGTACTTTGATTATATAAGGCATCCATTTTGTTCTCAGTTCTTTTTCATGTGATTTATAATGGGCAGGTGTTAATATTTAGCCCCTCTTCTTAAAAATTCCTTCAGACTACTGTTTTACAGCTGTGTTCAAGAGTCTCACATTTGATGTGTTGGGTGGACAGCCCTTTACTACACCACTGCAAACAGTAAGCACCATATGACACCAATCATACCTCAAGAACTACTCCAAATCAACTTAAATCCAACCGATAACCCCATAAAATCTTATTTCCCCCATACAGCATATCCCTCAATCCTTCTTTCTCCTTTTCTCTTCAATTTTTCACAAACTATCTGCTTGCCAATATGAGTTGTTTCCGCAACAGAAATTTAACAATATAACTTCATTGTGATTTGCTATAAACAAAAACACCCCCAAATGTGTTCAATTCGAGTCAATTATCAAAAGTGTATTGCATACAAATGTACCACACTAAAAGGTACATGTATAAATGAAGAATAATGGAAAAGCGCTTTTCTATAAACAAAATAATCTTGATGCATACAAGTCATGTACATCGCGTTACATTCCTGTGTCCAATGGTCTTTGTAACTTAAAAAAATAAGAGGACTATCGTATTGATATGTCAAATAAAACTTGTGTATAGTCATTAATGTACCTCTACAATCTTTCTAGTTATTTTTAGTTTAGATAAATAATCAACAATGGCAGATGTTGAAAAATAAATTAAAATTATGAAATAGACAATAATTCCCCAGAGAAATCAAAGCAGCATTAATTTTCCTTATGGCAGGCATATCGCTACTACAATAACCAGGCAGCTACATTTTCACCAGTATGTTTTTAATTTTTGTTGAACGATTCCATGTCAACTTTCTACACAAAGTACTTATCTATCATCTAAGTAAATAGCAGTACTCTACAAGGAAAAAAGAAGAAGGACAGGACAAATTAGTCAACTCTCTAATGGTGAACTCTCCATTCTCAAAAAAAATATGTCTAGCTTTCATAGAGACAGAGCTGCATCTTTTTGACGACATTCAGGCCAGTCCCAGTCGTAATGAAATGGATCTGATTTACAGACTTCTGTAAAATTTAATCTGATACACACACATGCAAATCTTCACATACATGTACATACTTTCTGAGGCTATGAAAAGATGTGCAGTAATGATGACTAGATAGATGACTATCAAATATGACAATAAACAGGGTTTTTTTTTAAACAGAAGAAAAGAAAATGGTACATAGGTACATGTATTTTTTATAAATGTAATGTTTCCTGGGAGAAATTTCAATCGTTTAAACATATTTGTGGCTTATACTCCGTAAATAAGATTGATTGATAGATCTGTAATTGAAAAACAAGTCGGTATTACATGTACATGTATGTCTTTAAAAAGAAAGAAAAAGAAAGAATGAAATACAGAAATAGGTCAGATGCTAATGCCTTTTTTATTTAAATGTCAATAGCATTTTTATTCATGACGCACACACGAGTCTATTTTATAGAAACTTACTTAATACATGTATCTAGTTAAGTCATTAACAATTCTTTTTGGTCCATTTGATCTGAAGAGGCCTACAATTCCTATTTCAGGTACAGGACCTCTTATACATTCCGATGCGATTGGGTCTCTTGCTCTATTGGCTCCTTCCGGTCGTTGATAGTAATGTTGAGTGTTAAACGTCCAGGCTGGAGGCTAGGCTTTACTACCATCTAAGACGCACGTCTTGCGCAAACAAGGCCAAGAATGATATTTTTTACATGTAGTCCCTCGCATTCAAATCTACATTGGCATCCAACACCAGCTTTCAACCACTGGAGATCAGGCGGTCATTGTTTATTCCCAGTAAGCATCCATGGATGCAGATCAAGCAACACTGTCCCATGTATTGAAAATTGTGTCGAACACATACATGTACATCATAGTCCCATGGGTTTGATATCGTGCTGGACAGCCATCAACTAGTTTTAACCTTGTCTGGTTTATTGCCCTTTCGTATGAGGCGTAACCGAGACTTCTTTTTCGACCTCTCTGCTAGATCGCCCTCGTTGGACGAAACATTATCCTCGTCTTTTGATGACAACGATCCCATCTTTTTCAGCTGTTCTGTATTTTGAAATGAAAAAAAGAAAAGAAGACAGAAATGAATGTTTAAGTTCATCATTATGAGCAGAAAGGGGATTGACTAAAGGTGGACATTAACCTCTTGCAGCCGATTCTATTAGAACTTTCCCTGGACTTCCACCAAGATAATTTGGAAATGTAGGACCCATGCCTATAATCTGGACTATTATCCATCATAATAGGGTAAATACCCTGAAATGAGCTTTTATCGTACCAGGACTAACTTCCAGTTGCAGTTATTCTAGATGGATGGTTAGTGGTTCCCGGTTTAATATTCAATCAATAGGAAGACAGTTCTTACCATTAATTGCCCTCTGCATAATATCAAATGTAAATAATTAAATAATCAATTGTATGTTGTAAAGAGCATTTTGTGTATGAAAGCAAGCAATTACTGCACTGCACATGTATGACTTCATATACATATGAAAATACCAGATTGTAAATACATATGTGATGGGTATATTGCACAGCTCGTTGGAAGGCCTTTTTTATTCTTAAAAAGAAATGTTTTGGTATGCCTGAGATTGGTTTGATTAGAAAGAAAATTCCATTTATTTTTCACATGTTATGAAATATATTTCAGTTAGCACGATGTTAAATGGTTGTCAGCATCTGTATGTTATTGATTATTATCATCATTATTACGATCATATAATAAGAAAGAGAGAGAGAGAGAGAGAGAGAGAGAGAGAAGAAAAAAACAGAAAGAGAGAGAAAGAAAGAGAAAGAGAGAAAGAGAAAGAGAGAGAAAGAGAAAGACAGACAGAGAGAGAGAGAGAGAGAGAGAGAGAGAGAAAGAAAGAGAGAGAAAGAAAGAGAGAGATAGAATGTGAGATAGAGACCAAGTATTAAACCATCACACTGATCTCAAATTGTAATGCTTGACATCACAAAAATAATTTCAAAAGTTAGCAGGAAATCCATGTACATTTTTTCCCAAAACAAATACACCATTTAATACAGCACTTCTAAATACCCAGCTACCTAGCTACAGTCCGACATCCATGCAACTTTGACACCAAAACTACTATCACTATTGAAACATGAACCATTTTACAAATAAAATGTGTTGGGGGGCCATTCCTATGAATTTTATGCTCTGTACTTCATGTTCTTCGCTAAAAATCAAATCATGCAACTCAACTAACACTCTACTAAGCACTGCTACAGATAATTCTATGTATTGCAAGCAATGTATGGTTGTGATTAGTTGTGAGTTGTGACATTGAGAAAAAAACACTATGAGATTCATGAGCGGAATAGGATATGTCTAGGGTCAATGCTGCAACTTGAAGAATAGGATATGTCTAGGGTCAATGCTGCAACTTGAAGAATAGGATATGTCTAGGGTCAATGCTGCAACTTGAAGAATAGGATATGTCTAGGGTCATGCTGCAACTTGAACAACAGTTTGCATATGGTTTATAGCCAACTATGAAAGTTTTGGCAAAGTTACCATCAATGGTAAGTTTTATGCAACAGGCCCAGGTTGGACTGTCATATTAATATTTAATATACAGCAGGTGCTAAAAGGGTTATCCATAAAGCTTCCTACTCAAGTCCCTTCCTACTCAAATCAAGTTTTATTGACAACAACTCAACTCCAATCAAAAGGCAAACTCCTGTCAAGTATTTCAGGCAACTACCATAAAACCAAGAAAGGTGAAAAATTATGCCAAGTCAGAATCTCTAGATGTCGGCATGTCTAGAACATTGATAGAGACAATGTAACTAAGCTTTGTATTTCTATATATATATTACCAGTGTTAAAACTTTCTTTCTGCATTTCTTTCTTCCTCTCTTTCTTTCTTTCTTTCTTTCTTTCAAAGGAACTCTCTATGAATTTCTGTAGAATAAATTTAATTTCCTAAAGGATTATACTGTCATTACCCCCCTGAGCTCACTCATTTTACACAACCATGATTTGGATGTTATTCTTGCTGTTCTACATGTATATATATATATATATATATATATATATATATACACTGTAAATGTTGGGAAAAATTCTCATATGCTGTTTTATTTATATATGGGAATTTATGGGAATACAGATTTTTGGCATTAGTATGAGGAATAAATCAACAACACTGCAAACAAATCGAAACAAGCACAGCATTCCACACAATCGTTAGTAATGTATGTAATTTTACACAGTTAAAACTATACTACAGAGTGGTATTTTAAGATCTGAAGCAGCATTTTGAGAATATTTTGAGAAAATTTGGAATATACATCCTGCTAGAAATGTACATGACCACCTGGAAGTTCATCATGCAGGTCTACACTTGTACATGAAGCTGGAAGGAAAAGGTCTGTAGTAAACCAACCTTTCCTATCCTTAGAATATATAATGTTAATTTTGTTTAAGGTTGAAAAAGGGACAATTAGTAGTGTTATAGACATGGATGCAGAGACAAGCATGACCCATATTCATTCGGTATCTATTCTCGTAATATCAAGCGTCTAGGGAAAGCAGGCTGGGGTACTGAACTCAAAAATCATTCTTCGTCATGACTAAAAAACAAGATGCTTTTATCTGACTGTTCTCTTCAAGGTTAAAAGCAAGAGATAAGCGTCTGAGCTGCCTCCTACCAACCTCTCCTTTTCTTTGTAATATCTTTCCAGTTGACAACACGGGAAGCGGGTTTTATATCCACAGCCCCTGCCTCCGCAACCAGCGACTGGTGGGACCCCAGGGTGGAGAGGGTGGTATCGGAACGAGAGGCATGCAAGACACGCTGATTAGCATTGGCGGAGGAGAGTGGGGCTGAGGGTAGAGGGTAGGAGGAATCGAAGGACTTTCTCTGGAGGAGCATCAAGGGGTGCGTGGAGGAGCGGTAGGGGTGCGAGAATGACCTGTTTGATCGATGAGGAGGCATGCCATGAGAGAGAGATGGAGGAGGTTGATGGTGTGAGGAGATGAGAGGTTTAGAGGCAGAAGCAGCGATGGTGTTAGGGTTAGTAGAGGTAGTGGTGGTGGTGGTGATAGGGTGAGGAGAGGTGACCATGCCTTGTGACGGGGATGTTGGAAAGGATGATGATGGAGAATGTGATGACGTCGCTCCCTGCTGGCTGGAATGCTGGCTGCCAAATGATGCGTTGCTAGGCAACGAACCGGAGGACTCGTGGGATGACATCCTTTCAAAGCTGCTGTAAACAAAGAAAGAGGACATAGAGAGGTAAATATATATTTGAGAAATTTGCCAACCTTCATAATCATGACGTAAATTGTATCTTTATCAGTATCATTGTCCTGGAGTCTGGAGTCAAGGGGGTGTTTCACAAAGATCACAAGTCAAACTTAACTCTAAGTTGGACTTAAACACTATGGAGAGCCATTTGTAGCCTTGAAATTAAATATATTCAAAAGAAAGTATTTAAGTCTTTTCATAAATTCCACATCGAGAACATGAAATCTCCTTGAAAACAGAAAATATGAAAGATTTGAATCAACATTTTATGCCTTTTAAAATAACTTTTACAAAAATATTTTCAAAGATGCTAACGGCTTTCCATAATTGTTAAGTCCAACTTAGAGATAAGTTCAACTTGGGATCTTTGTGAAACACCCTCCATGTCTAGGAGGAAAAATGTTAATTACATTTCATTTTAGCATTAGGCCTCAGGTAGTCTAGGGCAAGAATAAGACATCACCCAACTGAGAGTGATCAAAATACATTACTTGTATATAGTCACTGGCATATTGGATAGGCATCTTATCTAAAACTTTTGGCTCAGAATCTTCCTTTAGAGAATCAAAATGGAATTCTAATATTTCATATCCCTTTATAAATGCATATCTTCAGGTTGTGGCATTGACGTAAATCAGAAGTTGAACAATGTCCGCAAAAAAAGGTAAGGTCTCATTAATGAAATACCTTTACCATCAATGTGGTGACTTTTAGTGTAATAAAAAAAGATCCTTTACTGACAGATAGACTGATGTTTCCATTATCGGGATACTTCATTTAATATCCTGAATAGAACTACATTCAATGTCCCCAAAAGAACTAAACAGACATGATTATATTCACCTGTCTCCTCCTAAGATGTACTTGGATCCATTGCTGCCAGATGCACTGCCGTTCCCGTTGACACTCGGTCCCATTCCCGACGCAGAGCTGCTACCTGCTACTGAGGCAGCGCTGCTACCAGCTCCAAACTGCTGCTGCTGCTGCACTATCTGTGCTTGCTGGTGCTGCGGAGGCTGCTGGTAGTGCGTCCGGTGAATCACCTGTGAGCCCGACATGGACCCTAGACTCTGCTGACTCCCGGAGCGCTGCTGGTGAGCCATGCGGCGGAACTCTTGGCTGGTGTTGCGTGGCATAGGCAAGGCTGAAAGGGAGGAGTAGGTGGGTGGAAGAGGAGCAGGAGGGACCAAGGATAGGATAGGTGGTGTTAGGAAACATTAATTTTCTTTTCAATAAAATGGCTGAAGCAATTACAAATTGGTGGCATTTAAGGGATATTTTGTGCAAACTGCTACACATGAATATTATCTGAACCTTAAGCACTAAACAAATACACAAGATACTTCATAATGACAATGGCTGTGGCTAGCATATTTAGGGGTATAACATTGGCAGATATTGGATGATGCTTCATTAAACTGCACATGCATGAAGACACAATTGGCTCTACTGAATTCTATATTATTTTCCATCAGATTATCTATTGCTGAATAGTTCATCAATGCATTGAGAAACTTTCAGACCAGATAAATCCATCCTAAATCCAATGCTGCATACACGGTCGGTGATCTTCAAACATGAGAAGGACTTAAGGTTTTTTCCAGAGGCCACATGCAAAGGGTTTCATCCTACCTTGTTTCATGGCCCCATATGATGGCTGCTGTTGTGGCATTGGTGGCATGTTCTCTTCAACTTCATCTAGACCCATTGGAGGATTGTTCTCTGCCACATGAGCCATGCTGCCAATCACAGATCCAGCACTGGATAGGGAACCTGCGGCAGAAGAGGCAAAGGAAGGACAGAGACGGTTACATACGACATCGAAAGAAAGGAAATTACATTGAATGAAGTTCAATGAAATGGAAGGTCCACATAACATAGAAATTCAGTCGTGCAGACTTTCTCTCTAGTTGTTGGAAAATCTACAAGACTGGAAGACCTTTGGTCTAGTAAATGTTCTTTCCTTCTTGTGAACTTCCCTGCTAACCCCCGTAAGTTCCACTGGCTCAGAGGTTTTTAGTGGCTTGCACCTTCACTCTCATGGACCTTCAATAGTAACCTAGAGGAGTCTCGTGATGAAAGTACATTTTTTTTTAAATGAATGTTTCAATTAGTTAACATTTTAGTAGTCCCCACAAAACAAGTAGCCTACAAGTATTAAGATCAAAGAGAATAATAAATGTCAGCACCGACTGTGAACCTTTTAGTTTAAGAAGAGTGTTTGTAGAAGAAGCGATAGGATTGCCAGGAAAGGCAGAGTTACATGAGCAGCAATCATCACCATAAGCAATCAAAATGCATACTGTTAATTACCACATGACATAGCATCATAGACAGTACAGAAATTGTTTTGGTAGGGGATTATAAGTTAAGAACATTCACCTCCACAAAGAAAATTAGAAGCCAGAGTAGCTTAACCTTACAACTCTTTAATCATTGGTTACAATCCGTATTTAGTGAGCAATACCTGCTTGCTCGTAGCGGTGTGATATTGTGAATATCCTGCATGTGCAAGGTGTTTCCTACTAATTTATAAAAAAAATCAATGTGCATTTTCAAACTATTTAATTTTCACTTCAACTATGTGAAGTTCTTATGCAGAGAATCATTTGTTTTCATGGACTCATTCATCAACATTATTGAATTATTACCCATGCCTTGTTCACACACCATACATTAAACTGCCTCAAAACCACCACAGGAAAAATCATATGACAGGACATCTTTATTTTACAATCTATGCTTACAAACCGCAAATAAATAAGTGTAGGAGCATTTGTTGCAACCAGCAACCTATTTACCTCCACTTTCCAATCACTTTCATATGAAATAATTTTTATTTTGCAGTGGCGGTTTTTGGAGGTGGTTTTTGGAGGTGGTTTACAGCGTGACGTGTGAACTAGGCTTATTGGGAAGTGTGCAAGTGAGAAAGGCAGGGTGATATGGCGTGCTTACCAGGAATTTGTGGAGGGCCGTCTAATTCAGGACTCTGCCCTCCTATAGGGTCAACAAAACATGCACAACAAAAATAAACACTACAAAATAAAATGAAATCAGGTACAGGTGCAATATAAAATAATAATGTCTTCAAATCAGAGCAGGAAAAGTAGTTATCCAACTAAAATAATAATTCACAAGAAATATAATATTAAAGGATGGCCCTTTATTAGATTGAAGTATTAAAATCAGTGAAATTAGATATGCAGGTTTCCTCCAAAAAAATTATCAAAATAGAATTGACAAGATTTTGATTCACAATACATAAAAACATATTTGTTATGCTTTACGGCAACAAAATAGTATCAATCTATTGTATGTCCGAATATCCATGATGCATAAAACTTTATCCTTTGAAGTTGGGCTCTAATGGCATACTCCTGCATACAATGTATATCTTTGAAATCATGTTCCCATTCATTCTAATTTTGAAGTGATTCTGAGCTTTAAAGCATTTTGCATTACTGAAGTATTTCAAATATAACTTTCATGCAACGTTTATTATTGGGAAACCGATACACTTGCCTGTTTGATGTTAAACAAAAATCTTACATTGACTTGTGCATGCCATTTAAACTAGGATAAAAACCACACATTACAGACGTCCACTAAACTATGCAAAGCATTTTTTTTTGTTACAATGCAAGTGCTATTAAAAACAGTGATAACATTAATCATGCACTATGCAACCAAGAATGCATCATCAATACTACATTTTAACTGAAAGCTCTCAGAAAAACATAATTTGTTTTCTTTCTAAAGCTTCTAAATATACACTATACCAACTGAAAAAGGCACATCGATAAGTCATGGGACCCAGAATCTATATCTAATACATGTACATACTGAAACAGTATATGGAATATATTTGTTTTGCTAAAATGTTACTGTACCACTTGAACTATACCATCTAGATGTAGCACAAGCCTAAATCTTGTTTATGAAAACCCAGAATATCTCACCAAAACTAACTAAAAAGTGCAAGGAATAAATATTCATGCTTTTTGTCTAAAATGTTAATGTGTCATATAAACTGTATTGGTTCCAACATAAATCATGTTAAATTAGACCCAAATATATACCACCAACACTGACAGAAAAGTCTATAGTATCAAAATTAGACTCCCTTTACCTGAGGTGTTATAGTGACATTTACATTAGACTACCAGCATCTAAGTAAGACCAAGAATAATTAATGAGTATTAATCACAAAGCCTTTGTCTGGATTGACTACATCTGAAGTTCTATGTCTCTGTCTAAAGCTCGATGAAAATGTTTCTACTCGGTTGTCAAATCATTAATTGGTTAAAAAGAGTAAAGAGTTGGGTTGGGTTGGGTTGGGTTGGGGGGGGGGGGTGGAGGCTTATTAAAGGTTACCATACTTGGGGGTGGGAGGGGGGGGGGAGGGGGAGGGGTGGAGGCTTGTTGAGGGTTACCATACCTGGAAGGTCAGCCCCATTGGGGATGCCTCCCATAGAGGCCATGAGTATCTGGAATCCGGGGTTGTTCATGATGGCAAATTGGCAAACCGACTCGATCTGATTCCAGCGATGGGTCCTCTCCTTGAGTTCCGCCGTCACCTCATGGAGAGCCGTCCTGTAAACAAACATGTACAGGAGCATGTTATCAAATGTGTTCCTCACTATTTGTACAGTCTACTATAACTCTCCAAAAATAGCTCCATTTTGGTACATTCACTGTACACAGTGTGATTCACTTTAATAAAGGAACAAACATTCTACCCCCAATTTCTGAAAAGTTTTTTTGTTTTTGTTCTTTTTAATTCAATATGATTCAATTTTTTGTTGGTATCATAAAAACATATCATAAAAACATATCATAAACATTTCATAAAGCTGTTCGTAAAGTTACGGATGACTTTAAAATGACTTAAATATGAAAAGCCAAATGGGATGCTCAATCATTTTTAATTGCATCAACTAAAGTTTGTTTGTTCGTGTCTCCTTAGATCAAGATAGTTATATAAAGTTCCTTAATCAAATTAAGTGTGCAGATGCAGATTAACATTCTTATTAAAATAAACATTTTTAATGCAAAGTATATTTTTTGCCATAATTTAATTGAGGTTATTGGAAATAAAGTCACACTTTGTTAAAAGATCAGGAAAAACTTTGGGCATCCTATCTGGCACTTCATATTCAAGTCGTTTGTAAAGTCATGCGTAACTTTACGAACAGCTTTATGAAACACCCCCAGGACCCCGAAGAAGCAAATTGTGCTTGTAAATGCCACCCCCCACCCCTCACAAGAGCTTGAATGCAATATCACAACTTCATATTTTTTCTATTAAAGCAAGTAACATGGACACTTAAATATGACAAATGATGATGGGGCATTGATCTTTTCTCTAAAACATGTCAATATCAAACTTGTCCAAATTTTAAGGTTGGATAATGGTCAGACATTTCTGAATACGCAGTGGCCAATCTTTCTGTTTTAAAGGTAAAGACCAGTATTGGAAATGCCCCAATTTCAAAAAATGAAATGGAAGCTCTCATTACCAATCATGTGAAAGAATATGTTTTGACTAGTACATGATGATACAAAATTTGCCGGGAAACCGCCTACTAATTCATATATTTGGTAAATTTGTTTCTCTCATGGACTGTGAGAGATATAGGGTAGGCCCATATACATCTTTCTGTGTATAGTGCTTGTAACTTTACGAAGAATGGGCCAAATTTCTTATCATTTTGATGATTCCAGAACCTTGCAGATGCTAGATGCTAGATGATCAACCTTTTCTGATCGATTCCACAACATTTCTTTCACAATGCAATCGCATGACCATAACTGGTCTTTACCTTTAATATCTAAGGTGGACTTTATAGACTGGTTTTACTCTTGTTTTATTTATTAGTAGTCAGGGAAAACAAACATCAATCAACACAGACCAGGGTCCCATTGCACAAAATTTACCACTGATGGTACCTACCATGGAAACCTTGATTTTGATTGGCTGTTAAGCCCTGTTACCATGGTAGTTGCCATTCATGGCAAAGTTACCATCAACGGTAAGTTTTATGCAACAGGGCACAGATATCAAGATTAAAGGAAACTTCTCTCATTGAGCACCCACCTTGCAGAGACTATCCTCTGATCGACCGCGTCCAACGACGTCCCGTGAGCTATCCTGAAGGAACCAATCAGCGAGGCCCTTTTCCTCCTTAACTTCTCACACTCTTCCTTGGCCACCTGGAGCTGTTTGGCCGCGGCGACGCGTTTGGAGACGTAGTAGCGGTACTCGATCTCGTACGTGAGCTGTAGCCATTGCTGAAGGGTCATGGGGGCTGACCAATTAATCTCTTCGCTTAGCCTCCGCTCTGCCTCGTCCAAAGCACTTCTTACCTAGGTGTAGAGAATAGGGGGAAAAAGCAAGAAAATGAGGGCTTGTATTCATGATACACATTCTTCTTTCTATTTACCGGAGTGCTTACAGAAAGTGGACACAAATACATAAATGATAATAATAATACAGTCAAACCTGCTTTAGTGAACACCTGTCTACAAAGACCACAATCTTCGTTTATGGCCTATAAATTATTGACTAAGCTACTTCCTGCGGTAAAAAATGACAATCACAACAATTATCAAACTCCCTTTCTAATTAAATAGATAGCAAATCAAGAGTTGCTAAGGGTAGTCATAGAGTGGCCAATTTGTATTACGACTCGGACGACGCGACCACAGTGTTCACGTGCGTGCAACATACGCGAAACCGATACATGATAATTCGTAGATGGCGTTAACCAGTATTTGCCATGCTGCAACCCCTTTAATGAAATGAAATACCTAAATACACTAAGCACTTTACAGATATCATCAACAGATATCATCAACTAACCTGCACCAATTCTTCTTCAGCGAGACTGAGTTGTGTGGCTAAATCTGAATTTCCATCCGTGTCATCTCCAATCCTTTCTCTCTCTAGTCTTCTTGCCTCATGCTTTGCCGTTTCTATCTCATCCGTTAATTGCTTCTCAATCGACTGCTTCTCCCTCACAGCAGACTTGTGATCCTCTTGGGCGACATTCAATCTGAAGGTCAAAGGTCAAAAGGTTGATTTATCATGTCACAGGTCAAAATAATATGCGAGGCTGAGCTCATCAGATTCTTTACAGTCCCATGTGAAACAATGTCACAATAGAAATATCACTAGAAAAGGAATTCTTGAAATGCCCTCGTCTCAAATATGACTAGAAATATTTTGTAACTTTTGACAGGAACTTTGATGTCACCAGATTTTGTAGTCTTATATACCTACATTTGTCTTCAACATTTTGTTCCATCTATTTGTAATGTATGTAAATCAGAGAGAGATCAGTTGCAACAATGTCTCTGTAAATGGAATTGACAGTTTGCAAATTATAGATTTACCGTCTCCATGCTCTCAAAGAGTGTTGAAAAAAAAAGTATCTTGGACTTGGAGGGTGGTATTCCTGAAAGTGGACTTACTTTAGTCCATGGTTAAATCCATTGACTAATTATGGAATGCCAAGTGTCCATATGAGTATGTTTTTGTATAATTTAATCTGTCACTAAATCAAAATAAAATGTAATAACCATTCATAACAAACAAAAATTCATAAACAACAATATAACTATGATATAATTATGTTACCATGGTAATTTAGGGACATATAAAATATATTCATATGGACACTTGGCATTCTATAATTAGTCGGTGGATTAAACCATGGACTGAAGTTAGTCCGTTTTCGAGAATACCACCCATAATATCTACACCATTCTTCCAAACAAAAACATTCAAATCCTTAGTGTAGTTTAATCAATGGAAGATCTTTCATACCCAAATTATCAATGAAACAAAGAACTTTAGGTCAAAATCTTTTGAAAGTTCATGTTTAAAAAAAAGAGAGAGAAAAAGAGAAAAAGAAAAAAAGAGAAAAAAAAAGAAAGGAAAAAAACGGGAGAAAACATGGTGGCCTAGAAGAGGTAAGAAACTGCTTCAGCTTCAGCTTACTTTTCCTGTAGTTCCTTGAGTGAGTCCTCAGCACTGGACAGACTCTCCATCTCCCTTAGAAGCTGCTTGACATGGCTCTGGGAGAAACGGTGCTGGATGAACGCAAACCAGCATCCTCCCAGAGCTACCACCAGAGAGATGACCAGTAACCAGTCCTTGAGGTAGTTATGCATTGCTGTTCAAAAAAACAAAATGTGAAGATGGATGAGAGTGTGAGAGAGAGAGTAAGAGAGAGAGTAAGAGAGAGAGAGTAAGAGAGAGAGAGTAAGAGAGAGAGAGAGTAAGAGAGACAGAGATTAATACACTTCAAAGTCACAACAGTTGTGCATTGATGTTTAGAACACCAAAATTCTAATTCTGATTTCTTTCTAATTCGAGTTACCATATGTTGCAATAAGCTTTATTTCTCGTATTAATACTGATTTGTTTTTCAGATTCAATATATCATGTTATGCAATGTTATACATTACATTATGTGGTATTAATTTTGTTTGTAAACTTTTGTAATTTGTAGACTTACATATTATTACTTTTGATTTAAAAAAAATTAATTACAAAAGGACAGAAGATCATCAATCATCAATGAAAAGGGGGATGCAGAAGTTGCATATTTTATCGCTTTCATTTTCACTACTCCACAATCTACAAGGAGTACATGTATCACACGATCAAAGAGTATAAAAAAGATCAAAGGTTAATAATAATAATAATAATACATAACATTTATTAGGCGCTTAATACTGATGTTTCTAAGCGCACAGTGTTCTGATTAAGAGAAGACTATAACCCGTAGAATTAAATTAGAAGAAAAAGCAAAAATACAAAAGTAACATAGATAAGGTAAGAAAAACAGTGGCAATCAACTAAATAAAGACAAATATGGTGCGCACCTCCATTGACCGACGCACAACTGCAATAGGTAAAGACCAGTATTGGAAACGCCCCAATTTAAAAAAATGAAATGGAAGCTCTCATTACCAATCAAGTGAAAGAATATGTTTTGACTAATACATGATGATAAAAAATTTGCCGGGAAACCGCCTACTAATTCATGTATTTGGTAAATTTGTTTCTCTCATGGTCTGTGAGAGATATAGGGTAGTCCCATATACATCTTTCTGTGTATAGTGCTTGTAACTTTACGAAGAATGGGCCAAATTTCTTATCATTTTGATGATTCCAGAACCTTGCAGATGCTAGATGCTAGATGATCAACCTTTTCTGATCGATTCCACAACGTTTCTTTCACAATGCAATCGCAGGACCATAACTGGTCTTTACCTTTAATATAATCAAGAAATAAATAAACTACGGACATGTATACTTAACCTATGGTTAAATGGGAATGTAAAATGCAGCACCAACGACTATTGATTTCTAAGTAGCTATGAGTAGCACCAAGCATAACGAACAATAACAGTCCGGTATGACTCCTATAAATGCTTTCATTTTTGGTATTCATGTTCAGAGAATTCAATGCCTGTTAATCAACTATTAACAGGAGATGTTGTACGAGAGCAATTTACAAGGCAGTTTCATTTTCATATTTGCTTTGCTCCATATAATTCATTGGTTGTACTGCCATGAGTCACACTGTCAACAACAAAATAATAATTGCCCCCTGTAAATGGGGGGGGGGGGGGAGCCTTTCGAAATAGTTTTAAAATACCTATTTTCTTAAAAATGAAACATTTGGACGATTTATAGTTAGACAGATGGCCAGTAAAGAGAAGTGGCCACTATGACCGATTTGACTGTTAGCCTTTCTTGGGTAAGAGCTAAAAGGAACCACTGGAACATAGATGTATCAGTGAAAGAGAATGTTTAATGTTCCAGGAACTGATGGATTTTACAATGTGAATTCATGAAGAAAAAAAGAAGAAAAAAAAATGAAATTTCAAACATTCATGAATAAAGCCAGTTCACGGTTGCAGTCTGAGCATGAGCAGAGAAAGGTCATTGCAGAACAAATTTTGAAATACACAGAGACGAAATACTGGATACGTGCTCATGAAAGTTATGTAATCATTATTCATTCATGCACATTCAGTGTACTCCATGATACACAGGTGGAAGTATTCTTTGAAAAGGAGAAACAAAGGCTATTTATATAGCACCTCCATCGCTGTAGGAGTGATTATTTCAAAATGTACAAAGTGGGACCTCTTCATGTTTTGAAGATCTGTGGATATTTGGGGTCATTGCAGTAATGTGCTAACCGTGAACTGGTCTATTCTGCTATGTGAGTTAAAAATATTCTGCACATACCAAACTGAAATACCAAATTTGAATTTCAAACATTCATAAATTCTACAATGTGAATTAATAAAGATTCTGCACATACCCAGATGAACTACTAAACTTGAATAAATCACAAACTCATGAATTCTACGATGTGATTCTATAAATATCATGCACATACCCAGATGAATACGAAACTTGAATAAACCACAAATTCATGAATTCTACAATGTGACTTTTATAAACATCATGCGAATACCCGGATGAAATACCAAACATGAATATTACATCTTGTGAATTTATAAATACAAACAGCACACAACATGTCTGAACCATGCATAATGGAAACAACCACTTCACTAGAATAAAAACCCAAGGCTGATTAGTTTGATATGCATTACACAAAAGGGTATCACTCTGTTGCCATGGGAATACGATTGAATTTTACATCAAGCCTGTGAAAAAACTCTTGTCTCATAAAAAGGTAGGAGCTAAATATAGTTATCACAGGCATTCAACTGATGCTTTTCTAACTTGTCGGAAACATCTTGTCGGAATAAAAGACAGATAATTTTGAACACGGATATCTGCATACAGATACATCAGGCCTTTAGTGGCGAGAGTTCCCGCCTAGGACGAGAAATGTTATGCTACTTTTGGAACGACAATACCTATAATTTCCTTCAGGAATCACACAAAAGACATACTGGTATGAATTGATAAGTTATTCCCACTGCTTAAAATTTGATCGCACAATTCCCAAATCCACTATATTTTGGATTTCTGAAGATTTATTTATTCATTTATTGTTTGTAACTTGCAGAATTTGAACTCTGTAAAGGTGTGGGGCAAAAATCAGAAAGAAATTATCTTGATAAGCAAAAACAAAATATAAAAAGTTACATTTCCCAGATTCATAGTTATCCTACAAGAAATGCAAACAAATTACATCAGTGGACATTTAATAATGATTATTCAAGATACTTTCTAAGACATTCGGGTCCACTTCTTTATAATGATGTAAAATGTAACCAATTCAATATTTCATTTAATAATACATTCAGGAGGCAATATAAGAAACATTTAATCTGTTCATATTAATTACTTTTTATTTGTTAAATATCTGTTCTTAAATTATCCTGTAGAACCATACCATTCTGTTTGATGCTCTTATATGTTGTTGTTTTTTAATAATGTTTTTCATGTTTATGTTCTCATGTTCTATGTTTTATGTATTGTTTGACCAATCTAATTTTTATAATAACAATGTAAAAACAAACAAATACACAAACTAGGTGAACACACCCTAACAAGCCAAAAACCTGGCTTTTATTGTGTTCACCATTTTCCAATTATCCACTTATGTTTTTATTGTAGCCTGTACCTTGTTTCTCTTTGATTGCTATACTTGTTTTGATTTGTTTTCTTCTTAATTGTTTGATTGAAATGTCATAGTTGTATAATGTTGTTATTGCCTATTGACTGTTTTTTTACATTGTTTTTGATTGATGTTGGAATTTGGAAATAAATGATTTGATTTGATTTGATTTGATTTCCCAGGTGCTTTAGGGATCTAAAATTAGAAGGGGCTCATTATTCAGTGTATATGTACTTCAAGTATACAACATTGAATTTGAATGGGATTGAGGGGGGGGGGGAGCAAATGCTACCTGGAACCACAATTGCCTGTACCCCACAACCAAACTCCTCTTCATTCACCCCCCCCCCCATGCCTAATCATGTATGCTTCTCCCTATACCAGTCCCTACCTAATGTCCGGCTAGCAGATGCAGACAAGTACAGACAAATGAACTTTGACATTATGATAGGGGGGGGGGGGTGTTCAAGACTGGGCTTTATACTCCAGGCTAAATGGATCTGACAGGTATCCACAATGAGATAATGCCTTCTATGCAGTGCTGTAATTAGTATACACACACACACACATGTATGTACAAGTAGTATTCTCCTAATCCTGAACAACACATACACTCATTTTAAGTTTATACGTAGGAACAGTTTTTTTTTCTTTTACCCTTCAAATAGAAAGACAGTTCAACAAATGCAGAAAGCGTGTATTTGTGTGCCCTTTAAAAAAAAATTGTTCTTGACATTCTAATATTGTTCTTTACTTATGGCAATGTAAATATGCCTACATATTAGGATAAGAACAGAAAAAAAAAATTTGTTTAGATCTTCCACCTTAAAATAAATGGGGACAGAAGGAGATTATCAAGAACATTTACCTAAAATAACTTGTCTGGATATGAAGTACAGTCAAGTCAATTACGCTGTATGTCAAGTTTGAAACCATGTTTTGTTAATTTTTACAGCAGGCATATTTCTTACACGTGAGTGTATACAAACAAATGCTTACAACTTGAAATGTGCACCCCAACACTGCCACCTAGACTTATACATTATATATTAGTTTAACCATGTAAATCATTACAAGCCTGTTAAATAGTACCCTTTACTAAAGATAGATCAATTGTATGTTTATGTAGCTGTAACATTTATTTCCAAGAGGGTTGCATACATGGCTTGGCCATCAGGGTCAATAAACAAAGCACAGACAGTGTATTATGGTTCTTGTCTCAGAGGGATGCAATATTTAATTAGGCACCTGATGTTCAAATAGCATGCGCCATGCAGGCCCTTTAATCAAATATACCGTACTATGAATAGGCCTGAACTCAACAACAACAGTTTAATTCGATTGCAAGAAGACATATAGCCAAAAGAAGAAAATTAATACATTAGCTCCATGACCAGTTGCAGATGGGGAGGGTGGGGGCTTCGGGGGAGGGGGTGGGGGGGGCAGATGCATGTACCCCCAAATCTTGTTTGGTTGTCAGAGAATGTTCAGACTTAGCCCCCACCCTAGAGAATTCTGGGATCTTCCACTAGCTGACAATCAATATTATTAAAAAG